CATCTGATGGTGGAACATCTAAAAGTGTGAAAATAAAAATACCTGTATGGGATTTACTCATGATTGTCAGCCAGCTTTCTGGAGATTCTTCAGCTCCAGAGATCTGACACTTGTAGAATCCTCCGTTGGATCTGGAAACTCGTTTGATTGTCAGGTTTCCCGTGGTGTTGCTCCCGACAAGGCGGCCATCTTGGTAGAAATCAGCCGTGAAGTTGGAGGACGTCGTCTTGTTTCTGCAGCCAAGAGTCACGGTTCCTCCCTCCTTCAGGGGACGAACAGGACTCTCCAGGATCACAGAACCAGCTGAAAAACACAGAAAAATTCGGTACGCATCTATGTGACGCTTTCTGTTTCCAGATTTGAACCCTTTGGTGAGAATAAACCTACCGGTGACGGTGACGTTGACAGCGTTACTCCTCTGCTCTCCGTTTTCACACCAGTAAGTTCCGCTGTCCGACTCAAAGGAATAAATGATGCTGCAGGTCAACGTTGTGCCGTTGGAGCATCTCTGAATGAATTTCTTCATGCTCCTCACTTTCCACCCGGTGGAGACGTTCGCCCCTTCGCAGGTAAAAGACACCGACTCGTATTCAAAGAGCTGCAGTCTGGATGGAACGATGTGAACATTTGCACCTGAGAAAGAAACAGAACGCCATAAACTCACGACTCAGTCACAAAAACGAGGTTCGTACATCAACAAAACATGGTGACGCAACACAAAGAGCACTGGATTACCCACTGCTACAGGAACACCTCGTCTAAGAACCGATGTGGCAGAACTTACAGCACATAGGAGATCCCAAAAAAGTAGATTTGTAGTCCATAGTACCAGAACTAATGTAGAACTGAATAACTTAAAAGGACATTTGCTCACAGCGCTGCTCAAAACCAAAGAAAACAAAGTGCTTCATGCAGCATAATCTAAAAAAAACAACAAAAAAACCCCATAAATATGAGTAAAAAAGTGTAAAAACAAAACAAAACACTGTAACGTGCACAGAAATGGTAAAATAATCACCAGGAAGCTCACATAAATCTGGGACCATTTCAGTTAAAGTGCAACATGTTGAGGAAGTTATATACGGGGAAGGAGTGGCAGCGTCTCAGAGCGCTGACCGATAAGGTATCGTGCAATAACAATAAGGAAGCTTCTGTTATTCTTTACATTGATATGATGAGACAGAACCCGATGGAACTGTTGGGCCAGATGTTGCTCTAATAGAACACAATGAAACAAAGGAAGCCTCCATTACTGAGAATGTAAATAAAAACAGGAAAGAGTACAAAAGTAAGACGTAATACTGACATTGAAATCAAAGTAATAAAGTCATCCTGCACATGATAGTTAAATATTAGCACAGGAACCAAGGTCGAGCTCAAACTCATAAGGTGTGGTTGTATTTTCTGCTACAGCTGAAAGAAGAGATCCACAAATAAACTGGATTAAATGGAATTACAGTCCAAATAAGCAGCCTTGGCGTCCAAACTTTACCTGCGACACAACTAAACTGTGTTCTCATTGAAGTAGTGAAGGAAATGTATGTATATTATGCTTGAAAAGCAACACTGAGATGTCAAAGGAGCCACAAAATCCACAAAAGGAGGTAAAACGAAGGCATGAGACCAGACTTTGGGTCCTTTGTGCAACCATTATTCTTTGACTTAGGTTTTGTTTATTAAGTTTAGGCACCAAAACAACACGGTTAGGCCTCAGGAAACACCACAGCTAGGGTTTCAGTACACAGATGTAGTTGTCGTTGATCAGCAAAGTGGCAGGTTTATGCCTAAAGTCTACACTCAGGGAGTCAGGCTACATTTTAGTCGACACTTTTGCGTCAATAACTATGATTTAGAAGCTTTGTTAAGTTAAACACCAAAACTATGTGGTCAGGTTTTGAAAAGGTTTATGGTTTGGGTCAAAACACGACACTTGAACGACATCTTTTTGTCCATTTTCTTGGTTTTCAGGCTTAAAAATCCCAACACATCCAATATATTTTTGGTTGGCAGCAATAAAACAGATGGTTGATTGGAATCGAATGCGTTTTCCTTCCTAGTTTGGCTGTATAATGTGGCTTTTGGGAGAAAAAGCTCAAATGAAATGAGACAAAAACACTAACAAGCTTCTTTGTACGTCAAAAAGCAGTGAAAAGTCTTCACACAAGTGTTTAAAGGTTATTACAGGTCAAATGAATGTTGCGGAGGCTGGAGTACAATCTCCTGAATTCTCTTTGTAGAATAACTTTTGATGGTTGTTTGCATGTTTTTGCTCGACCACAATCTGGTAAAATTCAGTTTAAACCAAGCTGGCTTGTGGCTAAAAGTCAGAAACGTTTAACAACAAATGCATTTCTTCAGTTTGGTGAAGCACAAGCGACTTACCAGACGTCTGAGGACGACTTCGCTGCACATGTGCAACCAGCAGCATCAACACTGCAGAGACAACAGAGGGCGGTCGTGTACAGTTTCACTCAACTTATGTTCTATATTTAAAACACATGCAGCCGTCATACAGAAAGGAATTTGCACTTAATGTTTCATTAATCTGCAGCAATTCACAAAAACTAACAGAATTAGACACAAAACCTCCAACAAAAGCGTCATCACGCACAAAGCAGATCTTTCTAGACACTTAAAACCATCTTCACATGTTCAGTCTGACAGAGAAATATCTCCAAGCAGCTCTTTAAGTGTCGTTCTGGGGAATTTTCAAGCAAAACCACGAGCATTTGTAAATTATATGAGCAAAAGAGCCAAACGCGCTACTCACAGAGAGCTGCGACCTCCATGGCGTCTTCTCGCCGACTGTCTGAGCATCACGTAGCGCTAACGCTAAATATAATGTGGCGGTAACTTCCCCTTCCTGAGCAGCTCAGGTCTGGGGCCGAGCTGACTTTAGCGCCACCTCAGAAGGCCTCTAGAGCAATAAATTATGTCAGATTCTGGGGAACAGGGCTGTCATAAATCACTTGTGTCACGCTTGAGGCTTTTTTCTTTCTTTTTTTGCAGCAATTGAAGGCGAGCATGCCCACTTTGTCACCGTTTGACACCGAATTGGGATTCAATTATGCTATAAAATGTTTAGAAAAGCTCAGAGAAGATGCAGCTTCACCAGCTCAGATTTTGAAACTTTAATTTGAACCAACGTGCAGCTGAGACGAGCTTTCACTAGAAGTCTTGAGGCTGTGCATGAACGGACCTTTGACCTCTGTAGCGTCACCGATGACCCCAAAATCTAATCACTGTGAGAGCGGACCACACCGAGGTCATGTATGAAGCTTCAGGTCAAACTCTCCTGTAAAGCTCTAGACTGTTAACAGACAACAAAAAACCCCCACACATGGACACGATGACCCATCGATGGGCAACTATGATAATTAAAATTGTGAATAAATGTTTTAAATATTTGTATAATCAGGACTGATGTCGCTGAAACTATCGACCCAAATCTCACGTCTGTGGTTTTTGCACATTTCAAGCTGTTGACATCACGTACGCCGATTCATTAACACTTACTGTCCAAAACCCGGCAGCGCTTCATTTGTTTTTGAATCCGTACCTTACTGTTTTCCAGTCGAGTCAAATGTCTTGGACGTGAGAACCGACTAACACCTTGTTGATTCTGATCGTTGCTGCTCACTCTGATTATGAAATAGAATCATTTTATTTACGACAGGAACCTGTGACATCATGTAAATGAGGTACTACAGGTGGATACTGAGCTGGAGCGTCACAGCGAGTGAAGGAAAGAGGGAAAAGGCATCGACGAGGGCAACATCTGGCAGCTGTAGTATTTTACTACATGATGTTTTATGCGTGGTGGTGATCTGCAGCCTGGCAACCGGGTCAAAGTGCAGCTTATTTATACGTTACTTATTAACTACGGCGCCAAAAGCAGGTTGTGGCATAAAGGTTAAACACTTTTTTTTTATTGAGGGTCAACGATCACCGATCCTCGTATTTGCAGCAAAGAAACACGTCCGATTGACTGTTCAGAGGCTTTTCCATCAAAGAAACGCTTCCCGCTGAAAACTCTTGCGTGTGAAAGTGAACCGTTTCTCTCTAGAACACGTCCTACAGACCCGACTCCAACAGGCTCAGGAGATAAGAACCAGCAGCTGATCAAAGCTTACTGTGGGCACGTCCAGGAAACGTCGGAAACACTCTGCCTGCCTGCCATTTATCCTTTAATCCATCTTTTTGTGAATTTAAACTGCGACTTATCCGGACTTCCAGCTCGGCCTGATGCCTCGACAGATGGACAGTGAATCTAAACTCCGTGCGTTGATTTTCAACACGGTTCTGGTTCTCCTGCTGGCCCGCTCCCATACAGGTAACACATCTATGTAATATATCAGCAGTACAATCAAGTATAGATCAAAACTGCAGATAGACTTTCTTCTGCACACAGTAATGGTGGAGATAGAACCTTAGAAACGGCTCCGACCTAAAGAACAACTTCCTGGAGCTGTCGACAAAACCTGATGATGGGATTAAATAGATTATAGAAGCCTCTGAATGTGTAAAGATGGTATAAATGCACGTACGGTGAAATTTGAGATCATTTTTAATAGCCGTTATATGTATCTTTGTTCTTATTATTACACTGAATAACTGCTGCTTCTTTTTAATTGTTTGTGAGTTGATGGGATGCTGCTCAACATTCAGGAACTTCACTGAGAGTTCAGCGTGCAAATGTAGAAATTATTCTCACATTTTCAGTCTTGTTTGAGAGTTTCTGAACACATCTAGTAATCACTTTACTTTTTAACATTTATTTTAGCAACCCTGAGTGCGTCACTTTGCATTCATGAATTACGCGTTTAGATTTCTGTGTCGCCTCCAAATGCTTCGTGAAGCGTGAAAGATTTGCTCCGGCGCCCAGAGACTCGAGTGTGGTTAAAACTGCAGCGCGGCAGCTTTGAATGTGGGCTAATCTCACCAGTTACACATTAACTGTGTTCCCACTGTGAAGCTCTGACAGAAGTAAAAGTGAAAGTGTGTCGTTTGTTTTCATTTTACGGCCTCAGACAGATAAGCGCTGACCTCGATAACGGCTGGGTTCTGACAGATAAGTGCACCAGTTGATCATTAACTCTCTTCCACTGCGCTGCCATGGCGACGCTGAGCTGGTTGAACTGATGGTTTTCTGGTCAAATATGATTTTATATTTATTTAAACTGTGCTTTCAGGTGTTAAAGCCCCATAGTATTCAAACCCCATGCCAGTTGAGATCTATAGAGAATTTCTGATCAACCAACAGGTTTTTTTTTTCTGGTGAAAAGCTGGTGAGACGTGAATGTTGCAGGTAAAATGGTACCTTCATGGGAACATCATTGGAATTGATAAATATTCCTACAATGTTTGACATTAAATCATTTCGTGTCCCTGCTGGCCTGTTGAGAAGGACCCAGTCAGTTTTTAAAAAGTGGTTTTATTCAAAGTTTGATCAACATTACCATTATTCTGTGATTGTTATTCACAATTAATACTGATACGCAGTAGTTTTGAATTAAAAACAAAGCAAAAACAGTGGCATCATGTAAACAAACCAGCACTTAAACGGTTAAAATCTAGAAAATGTACTCATTAGAATATAAAATAACAATATTTGCTTATAGATTATATTGACTGAACATAATATCACAAGTTATATAATATTAACTATGTTTTTAAGTGGATATTTTGGTCTTTAAAGATCTATTCCAATGTTTTTTTTTTGAAGGTGTAACAAAAATAAAGATGTTTTCTTACTCAGGGGAAGCAGCTGATCAACAAGTGTTGGCCACGATCGGCATCCCCGGTGACGTCACGCTGCCGTGCCATGTGCAGCCTGCCACGGACGCCACCGACGAGATGCTGGAGTGGTCGAGGCCGGACCTGAACCCCAGATTCGTCCACGTGAGGCGGGACGGCGAGGACCATCTGGTTGATCAAAACCCGTCGTATGCAGGAAGAACATCGGTGTCCGTCGACGGACTGAAACAGGGAAACGTGTCGCTGAGACTCTCCAGGCTGAGGCTGTCCGACGAGGGCACGTACAGATGCTTCAGCCCACAATCGAACACAGATTCTAGAGTTCAGCTCGTTGTCGGTAGGTATACAAAACTGGATGGACGTTTTTACCATAAGGTTTGGTTTTCCAAAGCTTTTCTTATTGCTTTGATCAGCTTCCCTCATTGAGATAACCACGGGTGGAGCTGGAGTGCTGGAGTGTAAATCTGCAGGCTGGTATCCAGAGCCTGAGGTGTTGTGGCTGGACGGTGAGGGAAAGCTCCTCTCTGCTGGACCTCCAGAGACAGTCAGAGGTCCTGATGACTTCTATACTGTCAGCAGCAGAGTGACTGTGGAGAAGAGACACAGCAACACCTTCACCTGCAGAGTCCAGCAGAACGACCAGCACCGAGACGCCAAGATCCATGTTCCAGGTTTGGATTCATGATCCGATCCCTGTTTTAGCTCCAAACAGCTGACGTCTTGTTACAATGAACGTGGTGCTGTTTTAACATTTCAGATGATTTCTTCGTGGACCCGTCCAGTCCAGCTAATTCTGCCGTCCCTGCTGTGGTTGCTGTCGTTCTGTTTGTTCTTGCGGTCGCTTTCTTTGTCTGGAAATGGAGGCAAAACAAAATCAGTAAGTCCGTTGTCACCGTCTTGGATAATGATCAGACTGATCAGTTTGATCCAGCATGTTTTTGTTTTTTCGCTTCTGTGACTCAAAGTTGTGGCCTTTACTGTTAAAACTGAACAGCTCAGTTCAACAACTTCCTGCAACACAATGAAATGTCTGTGTTAGAATTTACACTGTTGGTGCAGCATCACCATGTTCCATTTAATGTACCTGCTGTCTGCTGTTTCTGCAAACAGACACCAAGAAGAACCGTGTAGATGAAGAATCACAGAGTCAAGACGAGACAAAGAGGAACGATTCAGAAAAAGAACCGCTGGTGAAAAGTGAAGATGAAGGAAGAGCACAGATAGCAGGTCCCAAACCGGATGGAGAACCAGAACATCAGGGAATTAAAGAAGAAGAAGGAAGACGCAAGAAAAACGGATCTGAAACAAATTTAAACGATCAGTCAGAAAGACAGGAAGAAACGCCAAGTCCAGATCCAGCAGAACCAGAACCAAGAAAACACCAAGAACCAGAAAAACACGAAGAACAAACTATTCAGGAAAAAGTGATTAAAAATACAAATACTACAGTTCAGAATCCAGCTGAAGAAGAAGAAACAGTAAAAAATCCACCAGGAGCAGAAACAAACACAAAAACTGAAGCAACACCAAGTCCAGGTCCAGCAGAACCAGAACATCAGGGAATTAAAGAAGAAGAAGGAAGCAAGAAAAAAGGATCTGAAATAAATGTAAACTGTCAGCCAGAAAGACAAGAAGAAATGCCAAGTCCAGGTCCAGCAGAACCAGAACCAAGAAAACACCAAGAACCAAAAACACACCAAAAACAAGAAACAGACCAAAAAACTATTGAGGAAAAAGTGATTAAAAATACAAATACTACAGTTCAGAATCCAGCTGAAGAAGAAGAAACAGTAAAAAATCCACCAGCAGCAGAAACAAACACAAAAACTGAAGAAACACCAAGTCCAGGTCCAGCAGAACCAGGCAACAGAGAAGATGATCAGTCAGGAAACCCTGAAAAACCAGAAACCAACCTGGGAAGTGTACAACAAGCAAACAAAGACACTACAAAGAAAGAAAATGAAGATGAAACACGAGGTGCAGATGAAGCATCAGAGGGTGAAAATGGGACAAAAAGGGTCGATTCAGAAAAAAAATCGCCAGTGAAAGATGAAGAAAATAAAACAACAGGAACCGAAGCATCCCAGAAGATCCTCAGTAGTTCCAATACTGGTGAACAGCGAAGTGACAGACAACCTGCAACAACAGGACCACAAGCTCAGTCTAAGGTGGAGACTGGAAGAAAACAAGATCAGAACCAGAGAGATGAGGAAAACACTGACAAAGCGCCAAAAACACAAAATAAAGAGTCTGAAAACAACATGGAGGGAAAAAATGAAGAAGGAGCCAAACCAGATGGAGAAGTAGAACAGCCGGGAAGTGGAGAAGAAGGCAAGAAAAATGGATCTGAAAGAAATTCAAATAATCAGCCAGACGGCAAAGAAGGAACACCAAGTCCAGGTCCAGCAGAACCAGACCCACGCCCAGAAGAACCTGATAATACGGAGAGACGAGATGCAGTAAATATAGCACCATCCACAGCAGTAACAGATCAGAGTGTGAAGGATGAAACATCGATTAGAAATACAGATACAGCAGGTCAGAATCCAGCTGAAGGAGGAGAAACACTAGAAGGTCCACCAGCAGCAGAATCACAGACAAAAAGTGGTCCAGGTCCATCAGAACCAGAAGCACAACAAGAAACAAGAACACCCCAAGAACAACTTGATAATACAGAAAGAGGAATTGGAGAAATTATGTCAACATCTACAGAAAGAGAAAGAGCAGATCCAAGTCCGATGAATGAAGCTACTGAGACTGCAGGTCAGACTTCACCTGAAGGAGGAGAAACACTAGAAGATCCACCAGCAGCAGAAAATGAAGGAACCCTGAGTTCAAGTCCAGCAGCTGTGGACAGCGCAGGAGATAATTCGTCAGGAAACCCTGAAAAACCAGAAACCAATCTAGGAAATGGAGTAGAAGCGACGAATGACACTACAAACGAAGAAGATCAGAACAAAACAGAAGGTGCAGGTGATGGAACAGCAGTTTAGGATCCGAGACCGAGTTAAAGAAGACAAACAAACCAAAAGACGTGATGTGACGACAAAGAGAAAACAGGACAGAACCAGATATGTGGTAGATGTCATATTAACATAATCATGTTGAGCTCTTCACATGTAGTAACTGCTGGTTCATCTTCTTGGAAAATTAGAAAGTTTTTAGCTTTGAAAACCTCTTCTGTTGCTTCAGGGATCATTCTGGAGCTTCTTTAGACTCACCAGAGGGCCGTTTCTCCTCAGCGACGCTCCAAACACTCGATAGTTTCACACTCCAGAGGTTTGTTTTGACGTCTTTTATCTTCTTTATTCTTGTTTTTCAGCTTCATAACAGCTTCTTGGACCAAACTCTGGTTCTTATGTTAAAATAAAAACAGCAGCAGCTACAAACTAAACGCTGAAGACAAGCTGAGAAACGTTTCCTGCACTCATGAGCTAATCAAACACACCTGAGTGACGGCAAACACCTGTGAAGGCCGACGCCCACAACACTGTGGAGCTTAAACTGAAGCTGAACAAACCAAACATATGAAAGACCTTGAAATAAAACCTGGAATGTCTGCCGAACACGACTGGAAACCAACACAGATTTCTTTCATGGTTTTAAAAGTTACAGAGTTTATATTTCCCATAAAGGAAGACATGTATGTTTAGTTTTTTCTTCAGCCCAGTCGAGATTCTCCAGATCTGCCTTTACTTGATTCCAGGTTTCCTTCTATTAGCCTTTAAATTAAGGGGAAGAACTGTCTTATGAAATCAGGATGTATCTCACCATAAAATACTGTCATTTTCAAATATTTTCACATGACAAGTGTCATTATTTCATTCACTGAATTGTTCATATGCTTGCAGAAGTGGAAAATTCGTCATTTTCTACAATTATTTAGACTTTTATTTTTATATTTTAAGTTTTTATGCAGCTTCCTTAAACAACTAAAACATTGTTGTGTTTTCTTTAAGCCCAGATTTTTGTTTGTAATCAGTAGAAATTGTGTTGTTTTTTGTATTTGACTTCACATCCAGTGTTTTCTTGAATTAATGTGCCATGTAGGTGTTTATGTCGTGGACTGTTTATATGTGGGATTCGTCACATGTGGATGTATTCGCTAAAGATTAAGTGAAAATTGTTGAAAATTCTTAAATTGAAAAAATGACTTTCTTTGTAAGTTTATCTGAAAATGTAAAGTTTTGCTTTTGTAAGTGAGTAAATACATAAAAAGTGAGTAAAGCAGACATCAGTGCTATCACTGTGTTTAATTTATATTTGCAGATTTTTTTTTAATTATTTTATTTTTTTTATATTGTATTTCTTCACTAAAGCATGAAGGACTGAAGGGGGCAGTGTAGGACTGATTATAGATTCCGTGAGATTTAGATCCATCCATCCATTATCTGTACACCGCTTAATCCTCACTAGGGTCATGGGGGTCTATCCCAGCTGACTCAGGGTGAAGGCAGGGGACACCCTGGACAGGTCACCAGTCTATCACAGGGCTACACTTAGAGACAGACAACAGTGTGAGATTTAGATAATAAACCTAAATACTGTCTAACATGGGCTGCAGGGTGGCGCAGGTGGTAGCACTGTTGCTTCGCAGCAAGAAGGTCGCCGGTTCGCGTCCCGGTGGGGGCACCGGAATCTTTCTGCGTGGAGTCTCCATGTTCTCCCCGTGCAGCGTGGGTTCTCTCCGGGTTCTCCGGCTTCCTCCCACAGTCCAGAAACATGCTGAGGTTAATTGGTGATTCTAAATTGTCCGTAGGTGTGAATGTGAGTGTGCTTGGTTGTCTGTCTCTAAGTGTAGCCCTGTGATAGACTGGTTACCTGTCCAGGTGAACCTGCCTTCACCCTGAGTCAGCTGGGATAGACTCCAACCCCCCATGACCCTGGTGAGGATTAAGCGGTGTATAGATAATAGATGGATGAATGGACTGTCCAACATATTGTCATAAATGATCAAATGTTCAGCATTTTGTTCAGCTATAAATGTTCATTTAATCACAGAAAATATTCAAATTAAAAGTCACAGCTTCAGCTGCCTCCTGTGACGTAGAGTCAGTTATTTGGTGAAACTCCTTCCAGACGTCACTGAGGGTAAAACTGACTCAAAGTTATTGTTGATAAAGCTGCAGACTGAACAAACTGCTCCACTGTCATAAAAATAGACACTGGATGTGAATATTTCTGGGGCTGCACACGGAGGAACATGGAAGTCATCAGACTTGAGGAGGTTTGTCTGCAATAAATCTAGAATTTATTTCTATGACATGGTTTTAGATGCCAATGGCAAACAGGTGAAGTTTAGATTTGGCATTTGAGACACATGAATACAACACAAATGACTGAAAACCAAACATCAGAATCAAAAGATGGTCAATAAGATTTTACACATCAAAGCAGATTGTACTTAAAAATAAAAGCTGGACTCAGAAATGTCTTTTAGTGCAGCTTAACAAACTTATAATGCCTTAAATCATGACATGAACATTGGATTTTCTTGAATATTATTATATATATTAAATATTATTTTACAATTACATGTCCAGGTGTGTTACCAACACTGGAAAAAACATGGTGGCTCTGCATATTTGACTATTTACATCTCGTTTCCTGTCTCGTGAACACTACCTGCAATTCAGCCAGAAAAAAGCCTAATTCTTGTCACATTATTGTCATTTGCAGCTGAAT